TATCAGAATCCGTTCAGCATTATCCTATGGCGGCCAAACTCCGATTTAATTGCACAAACAAAGCTGAGTATGAAGCTTGCATCCTCGGTCTGAATATGGCAATTGATATGGACGTTCATGAGCTGTTGGTTATTGGAGATTCAGATTTGCTGATTCATCAGGTTCAAGGAGAATGGGCCGTAAAGAACCCGAAGATCACACCGTACGTGCGGTATATACAAAAGTTGTGCAAAAGATTTTGCAAGATTGAGTTCAGACACACTCCCATGATACAGAATGAGTTGGCTGATGCTCTTGCCACCATCGCCTCAATGATTAAGTATCCAGATACAAGTTATATTGATCCATTGGATATAGAAGTAAAAGAACAGCCAGTTCTTTGTTCACACGTCGAAGCGGAACCAGACGGTTTACCTTGGTATTTTGACATCAAGAAGTACTTGGAGGCCGAAACTTATCCTGAGAATGCAACGTTCAACCAAAAGAAGTCAATACGCCGTATGGCCCTTAATTTCTTTTCAAGTGGGGAAATCCTTTTACAGGAGGACTCCAGATTTAGGTCTTCTCAGATGCGTTGATGCTAATGAAGCTGCAAAGCTTCTGGACCAGATACATGTCGGAGTTTGTGGTACTCACATGAATGGGCTCACTTTGGCAAGAAAGATCCTCGGAGCCGGTTATTTTTGGATGACTATGGAGCATGATTGTTGCAAGTTTGTGCAGAAGTGTCATAAATGTCAAGTGCATGGAGATTTGATTCGAGTGCCACCTCACGACTTAATGCTATGAGTTCACCTTGGCCTTTTGTAGCTTGGGGAATGGATGTCATTGGTCCAATAGAGCCAGCCGCCTCTAACGGACACAGATTCATTTTGTTTGCTATTGACTACTTCACCAAGTGGGTGGAAGCTGCTTCGTACAAGTCGGTGACCAAGAAAGTTGTAGCTGATTTTTTTCACAACAATTTGATATGTAGGTTTGGAGTACCAGAATCCATCATTACTGATAATGGAGCGAATCTTAACAGTCACTTGATGAGAGAGATATGTGAACAATTCAAGATTACTCACCGAAACTCAACCGCCTATCGTCCCCAAATGAACGGAGCTGTAGAAGCCGCCAACAAGAACATAAATAAGATTTTGAGAAAAATGATCGATAATCGCAGAGGTTAGCATGAGATGCTGTCATATGCTTTGTTGGGTTACCGAACGACTGTCAAAACATCAGTTGGAGCTACTCCATATTTGCTAGTATATGGAACAGAAGCAGTTATACCTGCAGAAGTTAAAATACCCTCATTAAGAATCATCCAAGAAGCTGAATTGAGTGATGCTGAATGGGTTCGCAAGCGGATTGATCAGCTAACATTGATTGATGAGAAGAGAATGGTTGATGTTTGTCATGGACAACTTTATCGACAGAGAATGATTCGTGCTTTCCACAAGAAAGTAAGAGCCAGGATATTTGAAATCGGTCAGTTGGTCCTTAATCGCATTTTTCCTCATCAGGATGAGTACAAAGGGAAATTCGCACCAAATTGGCAAGGACCCTACATGGTTCGCAAAGTGTTATCTGGAGGTGTCTTAATCCTATCGGAGATGGATGGCACCGAATGGACAAAACCGATCAACTCAGATGATGTCAAGAGATACTATGTGTGAAGTTTCAGTTTGTATTTTCTTGTCATTCCCTTGTAATCATTCTATTGCTTGTAATTGCTTTGTTAAAATCTATCCCTATGTAATGAACTACGTCTGACCTGAATTCTCAAGAATGAGATACGTTGGCGGCCTATGTCGGCCTCGGTCGCCCCTTTATCCTCTTTTAAAGTTTCTTTGTAATGAACTACGTCTGACCTAAATTCCCAAGAATGAGATACGTAGGCGGCCTATATCGGCCTCGATCACCCCTTTATCCTCTTTTAATGTTTCTTTGTAATGAACTACGTTCGACCTGAATTCTCAAGAATGAGATACGTTGGCGGCCTATGTCGGCCTCGATCGGTTTCTCTGTAATTTTTCCTTGTTTTTGTTAATCCTTGAGAGGGGAACTACGTTTGACCTGATTCCTGCCTCAACGGGATCATAGGCGCCACAAGGGCTCGGTCATATTTTCCTTAAGATTTCTATCTTTTCTACAATAGAAACTGGGACAGAATTTTTTGAGAGGGACTCAAAAATTCTAAAGAAGAATATCTCCCCAACAAAGTCAAGACCGACATTACTTTGAGATTTGCAACTGGGACAGAATTTTTGAGAGGATCTCAAAAATTTCATGATTTGCTCACCAACGGTTGAAGATAAGCCAAGACAGTTAACTGGGACGGAAATTTTGAGGATGGCCTCAAAATTTTAACAGGGTTTATCGGCAGTCTGGAGTAATGATTGAATACTTCCCAGCAAGTAATCAGATAGATCTCAAAACATCAGCTTCAAAGACGTTCATTAAGCTTGACGTGACATGACATTTGACAGTGATCTTTTCCAAATTTTATAATTTTGAAAATTTATTTTCCCTAAAAACTTTTCTTTCATGTTTCAATCATTTTTGCATAAAAGGGTTCTGTCTTACCTATCAAGAAGCGGGAGATAGGAGAAATCAGCTAGAGATAGCAAGACAAAGATGCAGACAATCGAAGAGATCGACACAGATCAGTTCATTTCTTAAACTAACAATTTTTCTGTGGATACAGGTCTATATGTTTGCCTCAGGATCAACATATTCCTCCATTCAATGAATAGGGAGAAGTCAAAAGGGCAAGGAGTTCCCCAAAATTGACAATTTTTCTGTGGATGAAGGAAATATTTTATGCTTTTTATACCAAAGAATTGGAAATATGAGTAGCATTATTTAATTCAAATTCTTAGCAAAGTGAGATTCGTAATGGATATGTAATTATGTTCAGAGATGGAACAAACGAAAACCACGAAGAGAGCAATATTTTTATTTTCCAGCAACTAAAGATACTTGGAAGATTTTTTCTGCATCACATTATCAGACATGATGCTACCCCTACTCGGAGAGTCATTTATATCGTATTGTCAAATGAGACGATACCACTACTCCGAGAGTCATTTTTATTTATATTGTCGATTGAGATGCTACCTCTACCCGGAGAGTCATTTATATCGTATTGTCAAATAAGATGATACCACTACTCCGAGGGTCATTTTATTTATATTGTCGATTGAGACAATACCGCCATCCAAAAGATACCCAGAAGGTCACATATATCGCTCGGTGAAGCACTACCTTCGTTCGGTATCAAGGAGGCATCATCAGAGAAGATCCATGCATCGCGGGAAAAAGATTCATGCATTGCAAGAGAAGATCCGTGCATCGCAAGAAAAAGAAGTCATGCATCGCGGGAAAAAGAAGTTATGCATAGCAAGAGAAGAAAGTCATGCATAGCAAGAGAAAGAAGTCACGCATTGCAAGAGAAGGAAATCATGCATAGCCAGAGAGAGAAGTCATGCATAGAAAGAGAAAGAAGTCATGCATTGCAAGAGAAGAAAATCATGTATCGCAAGAGAAAGAAGTCATGCATTGCAAGAAGAGTCATACATCGCAAGAGAAGGATTCATCCATCGTGGGAAAGGAATTCATGCATTACAAGAGAAGACTCATGTATCGCGGGAAAAGGAATTCATGCATTACGAGAGAAGATTCATGCATCGCGAGAAAAAAGGATTCATCCATTGCAATAAAAGATTCATGCATTGCAAGAGAAGATTCATGCATCGCGGGAAAAAAATTCATGCATTGCGGGAAAGAAATTCATGCATCGCAAGAGAAAGGAGTCATGCATAATAAGAGAAGGAGTTATGCATCACAGGAGAAAGATCTACCCACCACAAGAAGATCAACATCGGCTGCATCATTTTTCTTTGCAACAACGACATCAAAAGAACTGTCAACATTAACATCGGCCTATTTTTATTACTTTGACATCAAATGAAGAGTACATTGAAGATTATATTGCAAATATGAGACACAAGCTTTATTTACTTCACGTCAAACCCGATAGAGTTGACATCAAATGTTCAAGGAGAACAATTAAGTGTCAACACGGTAAAAGACATTGTCTCCCATTTGAATTGCATTTTTATGCTAATGAGTGTTATCTCAGTCTTTGTCGAGAGCATCCGAAATGATGAATCTCCAAAACAAACCACAGGTGCGGACGACATAAAAAGGATATAGCACAACGTGGAACTTTTCTTAGCAGCGAACTGGGACATAGTCCAAAGAGGAGTGTCAAACTCTTAGGATGCGAGTAGAGGAGCGACTTCCACCACAATCAAACCACACCCCTATCAAAAGGCATGTGGGTTTCTCTTAGGTTTGTCGGTTTCAGTTTTGCTTCCGGAAATTTTTGGTCTCTGCCGGAAGCGGCTTTCCAATCCGAGTGACAATGCACCAAGAGCTTTGGGAACTATGTTCGTGTAAGTTCTTAATTATGGGTATGAAGTGCACCATATTCATGGCTAAGAGGTTGCAAGACTCTTTTTCATACTCGACTTACTTGTCACTCCTCCAGAACCAGAGGATATCTTGCGTAATAGATTTCCTTTTCAACCGATAGAGTCGAACTACAAGCAGCCTGATGTTGAGGATATGTAGGCGGGATCATTGTTGAAAACTTGACTGTATTCTAAAATTCTCTCTTGAAATCTTATTCTCGAGCATTCTGGTACCTCCATAATTTGATATCGAAATGACTTTTGAATTCTTTCAAAGTCGTGCGTCAAATCAAGCGTAGCGAACTACAAATGGCCTAAATTCTCATATAGCCTGAGATATGTAGGAAACCCACTTCCGGGGTTCGGCCATAATTCCCAAAGTCCGTACCATCTCCCTTTTCCAAAAAATGAAGATGTGGTCGATCAAAATTGGATCAGTCAATTTCATTTTCCTCGAATTTCTTGCATCAATTCAAGTAAAATGAGGGACAGTTATTGACACCCAATTTTGACCCTCCTCAATATAAATTAATTATTTCGAGCCTCTCCAATTTCTAACGATTTAAAATAATAACTTCGCAAGTTATTTTAAAAGTAATTTTAGACGCTTTCATAATTCTTAAATAAATATGTATATAATTACCATATTTTACGAATATCAAAAAATCGTCTCAAAAAGGAGTTTGTTTTAATTAAATATTCAATTAAATTAATTTGGTTTAAAGTACACTTGTAAGTTATTTAGTTTATTAGTTTAATTATTCTTATTTTATGTTATTTTATTGATTTGAAAAGCGCATTTTATTAATTTACGTTATTTAAGTTATGGCTATAGTTTTAAGTTAATTAGTTTATAATCGAATTAATTATTTTATTTCGTTAACATTAAGAAGCTCGTTAAATAATTTATATTAATTCGTCTTATTTAGTTTTTAGCCGAATCACCTAATTAACTCAATTTGGCTAAGTTATCAACTTAATTGGCTAGAATTGCAATTCATTAAGTTATTTCGCTAATGCAATTTTAGTCATTCTTTTACATCCATTCAATTCTTTTGAGACCAATTTTGGACATTACTTTAAATTTCCAGCAGCCACCCTTCTTAATTCAATTCCAACTCCAACACCAATATAACAACAACAACAGCCCAGCCCCTTCGTCCATTTTCCCACATCCCATTATAATTTCCAGCAAATCCAGCCCACCTTTTCCCTCGACCCGGCCCAAAACCCTGTTCCAAAAGAAGCATAACATACAGCAGCAGTACCAGCCGACCCCATCCCCTTTCCCTTCCAATTCCAGCGACAAACATCACAACAGCAGTCCAAACGCAACCCACACAGCAGTAGCAACAAGAAACCCATAATGTGGTACTGTTCCAGCAGATAGAAGCACGTTGTTTCGTCTTTGAAGCTGTGGGATGATTCCACGTCGAGCAGCGGGTACAAGGAAGTTGATCAAGAGCGTCCATCTCGCCCATTCCTCTTTCGGAATGGGGCAAAAATTTCAGGAAAAAGGTGTTTGTACCGAATTGTGAAAGTTTTTGGCATTGTGAATTTCGAATGGCCCGTGAATCCAATTTTTTGGATCTGGTTTTCCCCCCATTCCAAAACCTATTTTTCCCCTCTATATAATTTGCTCTTATTCACAGTTGAGAAAAAGAAGAAAAATGTGGGGGAGTTGGAAGAAAAAAATTTGCAAAAAAGATTAGTAAGAGTTTACATAAGAAAGAATTTTGAAGCCTAAGCCACATAAGAAGTACCCCAAATATTTTTTCTTGTCCGAGCGACTGCTAGAATTCATAGGGACTCTTGAAGTTCAAAGTTGGTGTTGAAGTCGTCCTTCGCTCATCCCGTCCCCATTCGCTGCACCAGAAAAGGTAACACTCTCATTCTCATTCCTCGTTTCCCTCTTTGAATGACGCTTATTCTGTCTTGTTTGCCATCTAGAGTTCTTTTGCTTGAGGTCAGTTTTCGTTACAAGTTCGTTATATGTCCTTGATATAGCATCATCGAATAAGATTTGAATAATGGTGAAGCACTCTAAATGTGACAGAATTTTCTTTAAGTTATTGTTGTTGGTAATGTCAATTTGGGATGGTTTATTTCGAGTAGGTTTAAGCTTTTGCTTCTCTTGCTTGACTCTCCGCCTTGATCGTCTAGAATAGTTTGAGTTCGGTTTCTTCATTCGTTTTAGATTTTTGCTTTCAGTTTTATTTTTCTTTTGCTCTCGAGTTTAGCCGTTTAAGATTTGACTTGTTTGATTTAAGGCGAAGTTTCGATGTTGAATAAGTATTGTTAGATTTACAAGTAGTTTGGTATTTTATTTTTATTTTTACTCTTGTTTGACTTAGCAAGTACATGGGATCCTTCACATGTTAATGTAGTAATTGTCCAGGACGATTTCTTCGTGGGCGTAGGTATTATGGCTAGTAATATTATCTCTTATTAGTTGCTTATGGTCAAGTTAGTTGGTTAAGAATAATTAATTTGAATCCCTTCCCCCTTGCTTGATAAATTGTGACAAAGAGATCAATCTTCCGGCAAATGTTTCTTTTTATTTTAGTTGAAACACATTAGTATCATTTGTATCTTTCAACCTGCATAACAATCTTGCTTTAACATAAATTTGTTCCCATGATTAGCCGAATGGGTTATCTTTAAATTTATATGCTATGACCCTGTTTTAAAATTTCTGTGCATCAAGTTGTTGGCAGTGATTTGATTATTTGGCCCTCGATTTGACTCAGTTTCAAATGACCCATTGTAGTCGAACTAATTGTTTCAAATTTTGATCTACATTAGTTTCTTTGTTTTGTTTGTATTTTGAATTGTTTAAATAATGTGAAAATAAGGTTATATATGGCATATGTGTAGGCAAGATCATTTTAATATATATATATATATATATAACGTGAAAATAAGGTTATATAAGGCATATGTGTAGGCTAGATCATTTTAATATATATATATATATATATAACGTGAAAATAAGGTTATATAAGGCATATGTGTAGGCTAGATCATTTTAATATATATATATATATATATAACGTGAAAATAAGGTTATATAAGGCATATGTGTAGGCTAGATCATTTTAATATATATATATATATATATAACGTGAAAATAAGGTTATATAAGGCATATGTGTAGGCTAGATCATTTTAATATATATATATATATATATAACGTGAAAATAAGGTTATATAAGGCATATGTGTAGGCTAGATCATTTTAATATATATATATATATATATAACGTGAAAATAA